GTGCAAATTAAAATTCGAACGATCTTTCGGGGTGCAAAATGAGATTAACCCTAAAATAATTCACTAAAAAATATTGAATATTTAGTATAAATGGTAATAATATGATGCCTAAAAAACCAAAAGAAAAATTGATAAAAAAAACAAAGAGAGTTTAAGTGTACTAACTATCCCACACCGAAAAATTAACAGATGGTTCTAAAGAATTTGCGCCTATAAAAATGCTTCACTTCTCCACTTGTAGCTAGTGGTCAACAATTGCTTGCTTAACGTCAGCCTCTAAGCATTTTGGTTTGAATATGTTATGTTTGGGCCTTGAAGTTTAGGTTTTTTATGTTTGAGCTCTAGTATGAAAATGGATTTGTGGAAACCAGACTTGTGAAAATCGGACCGGTTTTTACGGGTTCTTAAAAAGTGACTAATTTAAGTTGGTTTGAGTAGCTTTCAAGTGGGTCATTTGTTGGATCGATCTAATGAAAGAATCGGTCCAGCTCAGGCACTGATTCACCGATTTTTCAGGTTGATCCGTCGGGTCGGGCTGAGCCGAGTTTTAAAACACTGCAAATAGCATTAACCACACCTTTTTATAAGGACTAAAGGTAAGTTTATATTTTATTTTATTTTNCCTTGTTCGTATATGTTCTGAAACGAATTTAGGTATTCCTTAAACTCGGAATCAAGCACAAGTGATGCATCAATACATAGAGCAGATTTAGGAAAATGGATTCGAATAAGCACTCTCATGTTTCAGACTTTTGATAAATGTGAGAAACAACAACGAAACACCGCAAAACTTTGACATCAAGCCATTTATTCTGGTTTTAATGAATTCTGAGTTTCTGTATCTCCCAAGTATACCATGGAAACTTGAAATCAAACAGCAGCAGCTGCTGTTTTCATATATCAAGGAGCAGCCTCCGTGGGTCTTCCACCACGTCCTTGATTCTTCTCAAGAAGAACACTGCCTCTCTGCCATCAATCAGCCTATGGTCATATGTGAGGGCAATGTACATCATTGGTCTTGGAACTATGTTGCCCCCAACAACCATCGGACGGGAGACTATTGAGTGCATACCCAGGATTGCAGACTGTCAAATAACAAGTAGAACGAACATTCAAAGTCAATACGAAGAAAATAAAAGGACAAGCAAAGCAACAATAATTTTTCATCATCACAAGAATGGAGGAGACAGAAAATAGCTAAACAATCATTTCAATTATTTAAATGTTTCAGCAAGGAGCAATACCTGAGGGGGGTTGATGATGGGGGTACTCAAAAGGCTTCCATAAACACCACCATTAGATATAGTGAATGAACCTCCAGCCATCTCGTCAATAGATATGGATCCATCATTTGCCTTCTTAGCAAGGGTGTTGATTTCCTTCTCTATCTCAGCAAAATTCATCTTATCAGCATTACGGATAACTGGAACAACAAGGCCCTGGCGAAAAACAAGATTTTATATTAACGCTAAAAGACTGACGAAACCTTTATAAAGTACAATAAATGTTGTAACAAAAACAAAATGCTTACAATTTAAATCAAAACAANCGACGAAACCTTTAAAGTACAATAAATGTTGTAACAAAAACAAAATGCTTACAATTTAAATCAAAACAACCCAATCTAGAAATTTCTCTACATTTCTTCTTAATCAGCCCAAGAATTTCTCTAAATAAAGCTAATAACTTCTTCATTTGACATAAGCTCTATCTGAAAGGTTTGCTAATCTGTTATTGTGTTAAATATATAAATCTAGAAAAGAATGAGAACCCATGCGAGACATTTTTGTTTGCACAAACACTTACAGTTGATGCATACTCCATGCTGTACTTGTTAAAAAATCCATTACTCATAACGACAAAGTCATTCAACTCGCAACTAAAAAGTATTTTCCTGTAATTGAAATTACATTAGCAAGTACTTAAAGGATTGATAAGCTTGCCTTTGAAGTGCCAACAGCGATGCTGATATCAATATAGTCTCTATANACAGACAAATTCATTCAACTCGCAACTAAAAAGTATTTTCCTGTAATTGAAATTACATTAGCAAGTACTTAAAGGACTGATAAGCTTGCCTTTGAAGTGCCAACAGCGATGCTGATATCAATATAGTCTCTATAAATGATATCATCCCCATCTATTACCGCATTGATAATGGGCTGATTCTGGAGCCCACTAACAGCAGCCTGAAAATTGGACAAGATAGTATGCAAACTNTGTATCGTATTTCAAAAAAAAAATTCAGTGGGCCCTTGCCTTCCTGGGTCCCCTCTTGTCTCCGCCCTTGTTCGTATATGTTCTGAAACGAATTTAGGTATTCCTTAAACTCGGAATCAAGCACAAGTGATGCATCAATACATAGAGCAGATTTAGGAAAATGGATTCGAATAAGCACTCTCATGTTTCAGACTTTTGATAAATGTGAGAAACAACAACGAAACACCGCAAAACTTTGACATCAAGCCATTTATTCTGGTTTTAATGAATTCTGAGTTTCTGTATCTCCCAAGTATACCATGGAAACTTGAAATCAAACAGCAGCAGCTGCTGTTTTCATATATCAAGGAGCAGCCTCCGTGGGTCTTCCACCACGTCCTTGATTCTTCTCAAGAAGAACACTGCCTCTCTGCCATCAATCAGCCTATGGTCATATGTGAGGGCAATGTACATCATTGGTCTTGGAACTATGTTGCCCCCAACAACCATCGGACGGGAGACTATTGAGTGCATACCCAGGATTGCAGACTGTCAAATAACAAGTAGAACGAACATTCAAAGTCAATACGAAGAAAATAAAAGGACAAGCAAAGCAACAATAATTTTTCATCATCACAAGAATGGAGGAGACAGAAAATAGCTAAACAATCATTTCAATTATTTAAATGTTTCAGCAAGGAGCAATACCTGAGGGGGGTTGATGATGGGGGTACTCAAAAGGCTTCCATAAACACCACCATTAGATATAGTGAATGAACCTCCAGCCATCTCGTCAATAGATATGGATCCATCATTTGCCTTCTTAGCAAGGGTGTTGATTTCCTTCTCTATCTCAGCAAAATTCATCTTATCAGCATTACGGATAACTGGAACAACAAGGCCCTGGCGAAAAACAAGATTTTATATTAACGCTAAAAGACTGACGAAACCTTTATAAAGTACAATAAATGTTGTAACAAAAACAAAATGCTTACAATTTAAATCAAAACAACCCAATCTAGAAATTTCTCTACATTTCTTCTTAATCAGCCCAAGAATTTCTCTAAATAAAGCTAATAACTTCTTCATTTGACATAAGCTCTATCTGAAAGGTTTGCTAATCTGTTATTGTGTTAAATATATAAATCTAGAAAAGAATGAGAACCCATGCGAGACATTTTTGTTTGCACAAACACTTACAGTTGATGCATACTCCATGCTGTACTTGTTAAAAAATCCATTACTCATACAGACAAAGTCATTCAACTCGCAACTAAAAAGTATTTTCCTGTAATTGAAATTACATTAGCAAGTACTTAAAGGATTGATAAGCTTGCCTTTGAAGTGCCAACAGCGATGCTGATATCAATATAGTCTCTATAAATGATATCATCCCCATCTATTACCGCATTGATAATGGGCTGATTCTGGAGCCCACTAACAGCAGCCTGAAAATTGGACAAGATAGTATGCAAACTCTGAGCACTCTTTTCATATATCTCTACACTTGAAACATAAAGATAAAAGAAGGTATTAAGTTCATGCACAAACAAGCCCACGCAAGTCCATGCTCAGTTCTAATGAAAAACCATGCAAACTGTTACGTACTTTCACAAATCCTGACATAAGTCCCAGCTTGACTCCATGCTTTTCCACAAAGGCGTCCTTGTACTCAGAACGAAGTTTCATCAAATTAGTCCTGCAATAAGGAACAAATCAACAAAGGAAACAATACCACAACAGAATGTTGTAACAAGAATAGCAAGATAAGCATGTCAAAGTTCGCAAGGTAATCTAGATAATATAAGATTAATTATGCATCATTTAGAAAACTTGGTTTAGTAATTAGAACCATCCAAGTACCAACATACATCTAATCCTTGATTTCTAGAATGAAAACAAAGAAGGATTAATCAATCCAGCTCAAAAATGAATCGACCCAATATCCCATCACACCTCCACTTACTTCCTATATCAACTCAACTAACCTAGACCAAAGCCTAACATATATAACACACTTTCACATGATCAAATATTTATGTGTGAAGACGAGATTGTTTGGTTAACCACCAAAACCCACATAGGTTGTATGTATACCGAGAATCTAGATTGTTTTATTTTCATTGCATTGAGCACATACAAGTGAAACTACTCAAGACCTCGGTAGGTGTATCCGGATCAGAGATTGACAAGGATGAAAACATCTAACCATGGGTGTATTGGTTGAGGTATAAGACTTCTATCCTTGTAATTGACTTTAAGTTGGTGAATTAGGCTACGAGAACCGAATGGCGGTTCCATGGTTTTTTGCAATAGGGTTTCGCTTGTATTGTAGATGATCTCTTTATTGCTTTAATTTTTCATACACACATGCAATTGCACACACACACAATAGTTACATGTAGTCTCAACAAAGAACCTATTTATCGGAAGAATCAAGCTATTACTGGTATTTCAATAATTCGATTCTTGTTTGTTTATGTCCTTCCAGACCAAGACTGACCTAGTTAAACCACATCTCAACCAGGGATGATTCCTTTTGATTAAATCCGTTTATGTGAAAGATGCCCAATCCAAGGAATATGCCATAAGTCACCAATCTTAAATCATGACTGGATTAGCTTATATGTGTTTTGAACTTACATATCCACTTCATTGAATGTCGTCAACAAAGCAAATGTGTTTTGAGAATCTTTAAGACGCGTGGCAACTCGTTTTCTGAGCCTTGTCATAGGAACCTGTAATCATCACAGATTCGATGCATACTCAAGTTACATGATCATATAGCTCAAACATAGAATTTGATTAACAGAACATTTAAAGATAATCATATGGAATATTGAGAAAGTGCTACGAAAACTCACGCGTCTTTCTCTTTCTTTAGGGGGGAGCTGAGGTTCAGTAGCAGAGCGTTTAGGAGGAGAAGGAGAAGTTTCCTTAGGCTTCTCTATGACAGGAGTAGTTTCAACTTTAGGCTTTTGCTTCTCATCCTTTTTCTCTTCAGCAAGGGGAGTTGGCTGAGAAGCAGCTTTTTCAGATCGCTTCTCAGATGGAGCAGCATGGGTCACAGTCACACCTTCACCAGATTTTGAAATGACAGCAATCTTAGTACCCGGTTCCACAGTTTCTCCTTCCTTGGCTATAAACTACCAATATTAAAGTACATACGAGCAGATTCAGCACCCATCATTTCCAAAACAAGCAAATGAGAACTGTAATGAACTTGTTCAAAAACATGAACAGGATTCTAAAATTAATTACTTCACCTTTTGGATGACACCCGCTTCAGGACTGGAAACATCAATGGTCACCTGATGGAAATGGAAATTCCAAGTAGATCAAACCCACTGAAACCTTAGATTACGAAAATTAACACAACTTTAGAATAAATACCTTATCTGTTTCAACTTGAGCAATTGGCTCATCAACTTCCACTCTATCACCGGGATCTGCTCATCAAACATTAAATGCAAACAAAAGCAAGCATTGGCGCTCAGACAATGGATATTTTGACGAGAAGGAAATGGTAAGATATAGTGGTAAACATACTCTTCAAGAATTGCGCCAAAGTGCCATCAGTTATAGATTCACCCATAAAGGGGACAACGGCTTCAACTAGGTCACCTTCAGCACATTTTATACACACAGGAAACATTATAAAAGTTAGAGACTCACCAACTACAATATAGAGACCATTCACCATAAGCATGTGTCCATATCATGGTTCATATGGGACATTTCGAATTACAAACTCCGTATTAGAGTTCGGAGGCATTGTTTTATTTTTTTGATAAGAAACAAAATTTTATTAATAAACATAACGAAGTTGTATATTACCCGAGCAAAGGTGGACAAGTCGTCTAAACAGACAAGAAGCAACAATAAAACAGTACATAGCACTACCTAGACCATGTAACCACAGTAAATTCGCACAATTCTGTCAGAGAGACCCAAAAAGAAAATAAAAAATAGAACCGATAGACCGTCAACCACCTCATATTTGTCTTCAAAAATTCTTAAGTTCTTTCTAGCGAGATAACCAAAACAAATACAAAAAAAATGAATGAAAAACCATTTATCAAACACCACATTCGGAGGCATTTATCACAAGCACCCAAATCCATCTTCAATCAACAACTTAGCCTTCGAGATTCAACCGATTTTTTTTGTACAAACATTTGTATCTTCATAAAGTTTAAGCAAATCGGACGCTTATACTGTATTACAACTTTTCCTCTTCTTTTTTACCTTTTAGAAAAAACTATTGGAACTCATCCAATCTTTCCACCGTTACATATTGTTTAAGTATAAATACTAAAATTACACAGTATCCAATAGCATAAGCTTTTAGAATAGATAGTTGTTTAACATATTATCAAAGTAGGAAATCATGTATTCAAATCTTGCCGCCATCCTAATTATTAAAACCACTCTAATTATTAAAAGATTTTCACGTGCTAGACCCAAAATCTAGCCCGCACATAAAGGGNATATCCAATAGCATAAGCTTTTAGAATAGATAGTTGTTTAACATATTATCAAAGTAGGAGATCATGTATTCAAATCTTGCCGCCATCCTAATTATTAAAACCACCCTAATTATTAAAAGATTTTCACGTGCTAGACCCAAAATCTAGCCCGCACATAAAGGGGCGTGTTGAAGTATATAACTACTAAAGTTGCACTCTATCCAATAGCTTAAATTTTTAGAGTAGATGGGTTGTTTAACACATATTTACTGTATTAACAGAAATTTTTCTTGATGGGTCCCTCTTCTTTATTAACATTGATGAGCAAATCTTAGAACTTTTTAACCACAGCTTATTGTGCAAAGCCAAAGCCACATTGATAACATTCAGGAGGAAATATCCATTAAGAGAGTTGCTTGGAATGTCCTATCAGGTGAATCATCATAGAAACCACTAGAAATAGGGAAATAAACATCTATCTTTCCAGTATGTTAGACAAAAATATTTCCCAAAAAAGAGCCCGACCTCCTGCCCATATCTTCCAACAACATCAAAAATCCATGATAAGCTTTGTGTAACTAACAAAACATCCATTCAAACTTATGCACATTGAGTGTAATTCCAGGCGCAATATCAACAAATGCAAATTCACAAGGCAAGTGAATATCATACCATTGTTTGAACAGAATGGCCTGCTTCGGATTTGCATGGAGACATCTTGTTGACAACTGGCCACAACTTCCCTGCAGATAAGAAAAGTTGTACAACAAAAGTGTTACAGTAACAGCGGAGAACTTTTCCCCTGTATATTTCATTTTTACATAGATTGAGACATAATAACATCTCCACTGCACCCTGGGTTTTACATTCAAGCTAAGTCACATAATCAGGCGATGACAAAGAAAAGCAGCCCTGAGACAAAAATTTTGTTGCCATATTTGAGTAAAATCTTGGAATGACAATTCGACCCCGTCCTTGGCCTCAAGGAGTGGTGAGCAGTACAGAACTTGAAGTGTTGTATGTTCACGTGATATATCATATACCAGTATGATTCAGCGAATCAGTGCACACTTAGGTGAGTTATAAGAATTTCCATAAGTAAACTTGAGTCTAGTCCAACAACTTACATCATTTATTTTTATTCTATCTATGACATACAGCTATGTGTGGATATGTATCGCTTATACACAATTCTAAAGCATTAAGGGAATAAGGCTGTGCCAACTGTCCTAGTAAGGCAAGCCTTGTGATAGGTGAATTCCTTAAACCAAAAATGGGTTCAAGGCAAAGCTTGTGTCAAATTAGATCTAGGCAGGGCAGGTCCTTAATCCATTCAATCCATCCTCAATTACACATGTTGCTAATCCCTACTTATGATCATAAGAGTACTTAATATGAAAATGTGTTTTTTGATTGGTTTATAATAAAGCTCAATTAAATGAAAAGGTGGAAAGACAAACACCACTAACCTTGTAGACCTCAAACTCATCAACCGACCTATGACAACAAAGGTACAATTAATAGGTAATGGACAAAACCACAGGCATGTATTAGCGTCTGCCAAGGAGGCACAAGAACAGAGTTGGCCAAAGCTTACCAGGTAAAATTAGGTGACAGAAATTCTGAACATGACCTATTCCTCTTGGATGTACTAAAATCTGTTCACATGCTTGAAAAGTAAAGGTCATGAGAAATTTTCCAAATATACAATGCAATAAATTTAACGTGATAATTTTGACATAAAAATGTTAAAGGAAACAAAAGATCCACCAGCAAATAAATGAGAATTCAAAATAGATCGTATTAATATGATGGTGACAGTAAGAATAACTGGAAGAATTTTTTATTGCACGTGTTAATTTTGACAAACAAAAGTTAAGGAAACAAAAGATCCGCCAGCAACTAAAATAAATGAGAATTCAAAATAGATCGTATTAATATGATAAGAGACAGCAAGAATAACTAGAAGAATTTTTTTCTCTCTCTCTGTCCGTCTGATATTTTTTTGGTATCTTCTGCATAAATATATGACGGCAATAAGAAAATAACTGCCCATTCTCAGACTTAGATTAATTGACTGGTCTCTGTGAAATCCTTCCAGAACATAGGCATCATAGGAGCAACATCTTGTTCAAAATTAGCTTTAAGATTTCAATAGAATCTATATTAAAAATCGTTCACTTTTTGCATGCAATATAAAGGTTGGAGATCAGAAAAATAGCAACACTTGTTCTTCATTTTTTTCTTTCTAGGAACACACAACAAAACATCAACCTCCATTCTGCTATCCATAATACACCCATTTTGCTAGGTCCAGTCCAGAATAATACATTATCTTCAAAATATTTCGAAAAGTGACCCAGCTCTGTAACATACAATACTAGAAGCAAACTGTTGGACAAATGGGACAGATGAAAATTCCTCCAAACTAATTGCATACGCTAACGTTGATTTTTTATTTATTTAGCAACATTATTTCAACATAATCATAAACAAAATCGGATTATCAACTAAATTCAATCAAGGCTGAGTTAAATACCTCCGTTTTCAAAACCTCCAAAATTATACATGCATTTACAAAGTTATTCTTCACATTACACCAATTGCAACAACCATATTCTCCAATAAATACAAAAGCAATAAATTGAAACAAACATTACATCTTCCCCAGCAGCAGAGCAAATTCTAGGTGTGGAAACAGCAGGCCGAATTGTATGCAATGACTTTCCTAGAATCTGCGTTCAAAGCAGATCTTTAGTTACATAAACTGAACTTATCTTTCATTTCCACACTACAAGTGCGTGTGTTTGTGTGGGTGTGTGGGTGTATGTGTGGAATACACTGCAAATTACCATAAGATATAGAAATTAGAGTTTGTACCGAAGACGAGGAGCCTCCACATGCGACTCTGCGTCTTATAACACCTAACATCGCAATCCTGATCTCTTAAATCTGCTTTCACGATACGAATGATATACAATCTCAATTAACGAATAAGAAATGACCAAGTTTCATGAAAATCAAGTAACAGAAACATTATTACAATATACAGAGACGTGTTTGTATGTGCATCCATAAAAGCAACAACGAGAAAAATTAAACGATGGGACTTGTAATTTCAGAGACAGATCTTCCTGTTCCTATATACATATAGAGATCAGTAGTAGGATTAATAGGTTCTCACCTCACTGAACGATGCTGAGATTCTACGAACGTAGTGTATAGAGAGGGAGGGTTGCACCCACAGAGAGAGTCGCCTAGAAGATTTTCTGACTTTCCTTTCTATTGTCTTTGCATTATTGGATTTAGCACTTATTAGCACACGCGCTTTAAGGTCCTAAGGAGTTGCAAAATTCAATTGGAGCAAGGAACTAAAACGCTGTCGTCTTCGCTTGACTAAGGAAGTCCAATATTTAATTTTAGGGCGAATTATACTTTGGACCCTAAAAGATTTAAAAATTCTCATTTTACATCTCCAAATATTCAACTTCTCATATTGTACTTTCAATGTATTTAAAAGTGTTGCAAATACACTATTTTCATTAGTTTTCGTTGCTCATTTCATTAACATCAATAGTATAATTTTTGATGGAATAAGAAATAAAAACTAACGAAAAGGCCGCATTACAATATTGTTAATATTAATGGACTTTTGATTCAATTTTATTCCTTTGCTTGTGAAAATTTTTTCTTCTTGAGATCAAGGGTTCAAGTTTCTCTCTCTCTTTTCCTCTCACAAAAAAAAAAAATACATTGAAAATATAATGTGAGATATTTAATTTCTGAAAGTATAAAGTATAAAATTTAAAATCTTTAGGGTATAAAGTGAGATTCTCCCTTAATTTTAATAATTTATTTTGTATTAGTCCAAGTCTCTATCAAGCACCAACTGTATACCTTTAGTCTAATGGAATGCTTTTAATAGCAATATCAATCATATATTTTACTCATAAATGGTTAAAATAGTTTTAATTTATTACCAAAACGTACAAACAAATAGAACCTTATTTTATTCGAGTCTTCGGTTCAATAGTTGATTGCTGATGTAGGAATATTTGCAGTATATGATGTGGATTTCCCTTGATGTATGCAGATTGTGTTGTATTTCGGGTCTTTTGTTTATATAAGAGCAACTCTAATCGAAATCTGTGGAGTTCTCAACGACATTATTTGATAGTGACTTCATCTCTAGCTAATATGTTAAATGTTTAATTGGTAAAATTGAATTTAACAATATATTAAATTTGACATATCAATTTTGGAATATTAAATCCTTTATAAATTATTATTTTATTGATCAAAAAAATTTAAAATGATTTTGACGTATCGGTTGGAACACTAATAAGGTGAAAATATCAAATTCTAAATGTCAAAATACAACATAAGCCTTTGAATTCAAATTTACATCTTCATTTGGGGATGCTCTCAAGGAACGATTGCTTGAGTGTAGGTTATAAGAATCTGTCTTTCACTTTATGTCAAAGTTTCAATCTTTCACTTTATGTCAAAGTTTCAATTTAATCTCTCCACTTTTCCTGAGCAGATATCTTCCTCGATAGATGGTCTCAAAGGAATGGGAAAAAAAAAATTCTAAGTTTCAGTGGTGGTTTGTTATTGGGTTTTTTTTTTCATTCAATGGTTCAAAGATATGTAGGTCAATGCGTATCTCAATTAATCTCCTTTCTAGTTCAATTAAAAATAGAGTATTTACGTCGGGACTAAGATATTCATGAAAGATAAATCCTTCGTCATTTGGGCGGAAAGAGTTGCTAAGATTCTTAACTAATCCCCTTCTTGATCCCAGATCCAATTAAAGACAGGTCATCAACGTCGGGATTAAAATATTCATGAAAGATAAATCTTTCATCATTTAGCCCCAAAAAGTTGCTAAGATTCTTAATTTATCTTCTTCTTGATCCGAGATCCGATTAAAGACAGATCATTTACGTCAAGATTATAATATTCATAAAATATAAAATCCCTCATCATCTGAGTTCAAAGGGTTGCTAAGATTCTTAATTAATCCCCTTTCTAATCTGATATCTGATTAAAGACAGGTCATCTACGTTGAGATTAGGATATTCATGAAAGAAAAATTATTTATCTTCTGACCCTAAAGGGTTGTTAAGATTCTTAACTAATCACCTTCTTGAATCCGAGATCTGATTAAAAATAGATCATCTACGTCAGGATTAGAATATTCGTAAAAGATAAATCACTCCTCATCTAGTCCCAAAAGATTGCCAAAATTTAAATTCAAAACGTTTTAATTTATAATTCGTCTCTATTATCACTTGAACTATTTTTAAACTTATGTTTCTTGTTTGTAATAATTTCATAATTGTATTGATTTTCTTAATTGTAAACATATATTATCGTAGTATATTTGTTGAACTGAATATGATGCTAAACTTTATAATGCAACAAATGGATATGTTTTGATTTGAGGTAATAGACTATGTGTAATGTTCTGTTCCTTTACAATACTTATAGTCATTATATATATGACCTTGTATAAGGGTGAACAAATTACCCGATTTACCCTTTTTTTGTTAAAATTGTGTACCATTATTTTTTTGAAAAAAAAATAATATTTTTCTTGACAATGTCATAAAGATGAAATAAACTATAAGACTATAAATCAAATCATTTGATTGTCTTAAGAACAATTTTCGATATCAAATTATGTTGATAGTTTTTATGGGGAGACTTATTTCTTTTTAATTTTCATAATTAAACCACAAATATCTAAAGCAAAATGATAATAAATTACGAATTTTTAAAATTTCTAAAGCAGAATGATAACAAATTACGAAATTTTAAAATTTATGTTAAAAACTAGGATAAAATTATCTTCAGAAATATAAAAAAAAATACAATTTATTGATGATATTATCTCTCTCAATTTTTTATTTTTTATTTTTTTGCACTTTGGAAACGAGTTGGCTGGGTTTTAGGCCCGAACCAAAGATAGAGCCTTAAGGACCCAAAAGACAAATGTTGTGGCCCAAATAAGTCTAGGGTCTATTTTGCTTCTGAGCTGGATCATCAGGACACCAAGCGGTAACTTTGCCACCTCACGGCAATCCTCCACTCATTCCTTCGCAAAATCCAAGCCACCACTAACTACGTCACCACTGCCAATGCCGAGACCAGCGCTAGCAGTTCCAACACCACCTCATAGTGCCCACTGTGATCATGTATTGCATACATATTAGTATAATTATGTTGACTAATTACAATTATATGAAATTAATTGTTAGATAGAATTTTGTGTATGAAAATAATATTGAGTTGATTTTAAAATCACTTAAGAATTTGGAGGGAGACAAGTAGAATTATGAAGCTGCATGAAAATATCTTTACACATGTGTCAAATAAAAGGTGATAGGTTATTTTTAAAAGTTATATATGTGGGTGTGTGTATGCCAAGTGTTTATGTGCGTCTTAAAGTGTAGTAAAATGTTTGTGTGTACTTTAATATGTAGTAAAGTGAATGTATTTAAAAGACAAATAAGTGTGTGTGTGTGTGTGTGTGTTCAGGCTATATGAAACCGTGAGTGAGGGAGAGTAAAGGAGAGGAAGAAGAAAGAAAAAAAAAAGAAAAAAGAAATAAAGAAGAATTTGGGAGACTCCATGCCAAACCAAAAGTAAGAAGGAAACAAGAAGGTAAGGGTGTATGTGTGTGTTCATTTTAGTGTGTGTGTGTGTGTGTGTGTGATTAATTTTAAGTATTTGTGTGTAAGTGTGGAATTGTTTTATTGTAATTTCAAAACATATTTTGGTGAGTTTAAATTAAGTGTATTAAACATAATTAGTGGGTTGTTTGGTGTTAAAATAATGGACTGTTTTATTTTAATTCAAAAACAGATTTTTATGAGTCTAATTTAAGTGTGTGGAACATAATTTAGTGGTTTTAAATGGGTATTCAATTGGATGTGAGAAAAATGTGAAAAAATGAATATTTGGGTGCTTTAGGTGGCTAGTTGAAATTGAGGTTTTGGGTGTAAAATGGAGAGTTCAAGGATTCAATTAAAGGGTTGATTTGCATGAGTTAGGAAGTGTGTGAGTTTAGGTAAAATTGTTTTAAAAGAAAGTATGATAACAATGGAAAATGGGTGCCAGTAATGCCGGAACCCTGATTTCTAAATATTAGTAGCACTTGTATGAAATTTTAATCCAAATGACCTAAAATTTTGCATGCTGCATTTTTAATTGATGCGTGATGTGATAATGTAAATTTCAAATGCAAATGAATATAATGTCTAGTGCGGAATGTACGAAATGCTGGAAGTGCAATTTTAGGGATTCGGGGTCGAAATATATAAAAATGGACCCATGGTCAATGTGTTTGACTTACTAAATCTTAATTGTGATTAATGTGAGTGATTTTGAAGATTTGGGAAAAAGAATATGATCTTAAATCTAATGTGTCAGTATGTGAGTGAACAATGCGATAACAGGAGTTACCGGGACNTGATTAATTTTAAGTATTTGTGTGTAAGTGTGGAATTGTTTTATTGTAATTTCAAAACATATTTTGGTGAGTTTAAATTAAGTGTATTAAACATAATTAGTGGGTTGTTTGGTGTTAAAATAATGGACTGTTTTATTTTAATTCCAAAACAGATTTTTATGAGTCTAATTTAAGTGTGTGGAACATAATTTAGTGGTTTTAAATGGGTATTCAATTGGATGTGAGAAAAATGTGAAAAAATGAATATTTGGGTGCTTTAGGTGGCTAGTTGAAATTGAGGTTTTGGGTGTAAAATGGAGAGTTCAAGGATTCAATTAAAGGGTTGATTTGCATGAGTTAGGGAGTGTGTGAGTTTAGGTAAAATTGTTTAAAAAGAAAGTATGATAACAATGGAAAATGGGTGCCAGTAATGCCGGAACCCTGATTTCTAAATATTAGTAGCACTTGTATGAAATTTTAATCCAAATGACCTAAAATTTTGCATGCTGCATTTTTAATTGATGCGTGATGTGATAATGTAAATTTCAAATGCAAATGAATATAATGTCTAGTGCGGAATGTACGAAATGCTGGAAGTGCAATTTTAGGGATTCGGGGTCGAAATATATAAAAATGGACCCATGGTCAATGTGTTTGACTTACTAAATCTTAATTGTGATTAATGTGAGTGATTTTGAAGATTTGGGAAAAAGAATATGATCTTAAATCTAATGTGTCAGTATGTGAGTGAACAATGCGATAACAGGAGTTACCGGGACACTTTAGGTTGAATCATCTTGCAAGCATTAGTGCATGAATAATTAT